TATAGAATGCCCACAAGATATTTGGAAGAGATATAAAAGTACCATAAGTCTGAACTAAAAGGTACTAATCCTACTTTAAATAATAAATAAAATAAAATAAAATATTTCTGGGCCCCCAACTTTCTGCATGCAGAAAGCATTCTGGGAAAGGGGAAGCTATTTCATTGCTAAAAAAATTTCATTTTATAATGCCATCTTCAGATATGATTGAGGAAGAGGAAAACCATATGGAGCAGCCCTGGACCCACTGAGCTCTGGCCAGGAGTAAGGCTCCCGTTTGCCTATTTGCAGACCCATGAGAGTAAATGCTCTTTCTAAGCCACTGAGAATTGTGATGTTTTGTTACAATCAGCAATAGCTGGCTGACACAAAGCTCTTTGTATATGCTCACATAGCCCTTTGTATATGCTCAAAAATCAGTGTGAGGCTACATACCTTCTATAAAGGAAATTTAAAGTTGGTAAAAGTAACAGCTGCCCCTAAGAACTGGGTATCTTCTACCTCTAATTGCAAAATGGATACTTAATACATATTCACTGACATGGTATATGGCCTAGGATTGCCAAAATTTTGGAACATGGGACAGATATGCCCTGTATCTTAGTATTATTGGCATATCTGGGGAATATGGTCCATTCCTTGTATGACATGTGCTAAAAAGTGAAGAGGTAATTAGAAGTAGTAGAGCGTGTGTGACGTAAATCAAAATACTCTGCTGAAATCAATCACATGGCAAATAACTTACAATCTTGATATGATATTTGGTTATGTTTTCACTGCAGAAAGAATCCTCAATAAAGTTTAAATCTCCCAATATTATGAAAAATGTCAATGTTACAAATGACTCAAAGTAATTATAAATTATAGAAAAATTAAAGTTTACAAAGTGAAAAGCAAAATAAATACATAATTAGATGACTGAGCAAAAATGATTTTGCTGTGTTTTAGAAAATCATTTATACATGTGAGTCATCATTGATAAAAATACTAATAATTATTTTATAAATGTTTGTGATTTATTTTATTCTAGCTACTTTAAAATACTACTTTCTATTTTATATTTCTAGAGGTTGCGTCTCTGCCCTTTTCAAAGCAGAACTATTTCATGGCAGAATTAAGGATAAGAGGCAACCAAAAAAGGAATGGGTAAACTTAATTTTTTTCATTAGCAAGAAAGAATTTCCCATTATACATATTGGATATTCAGTCAAAACCATTTATTGAGTGCTTGCTTGGAACAAAGTACTGGGGGAGTATATAAATGTTCCCTTATCTCTTTAAATGTCATTTAAATAAAATAAGCAGAGAGAAAAAGCAGTAAAAAATTGAAACCCCATTAGAAATGTATGGTACAAATATAAATTTCACTTGTTAAAAACTCACTAAAAGATCTAAAGAGTAAATAGGAGTGAATAAAATTCAAGGAAACTTTCTGATGTTCTCAGAAAATAACTTTGGTTTATAAAAATAAATGCATTACTGATTAATGCTGTTCACTCTTTTCTTAGATGCCTAACATACAATCACCTCCATTACAAGAAAGTAAATTTTAACTTTGGTCTCTAAAAACAAAACTAAGTACTAACTGTATAATTATGTGATTCAGTCAGGAAATAACTTTCTTATCAATTCACTTCTGTTTCTCACAATCTGGGAAGACTTCAACTTCCTACAAGGGCAGCTCTGTCTCAAAATAGTGAGAACTTGACCCTGAGAAACAAGACCTGGGCTGCTCTGGTTTAGAGTTACTGTCCAGAGAAACTTGCTTCATTGCCACTCACGTATCTGTTCCTTGCACAAACCTTCACTTTGGCAATGAAGAAGCTAAAAATAGTCAAACATCCACAAAAATGTTGTTCTAACTACATAACTCCATTAGTCATCGAGTAAAATGATCTTGTCATCACCCTATTGAAAATAAAAAGGGAAGCACTGTTTAGATTTAACATGCCCAAAGCTTCACTTTGCCTCCTCTTCTCTCACCTCCTACTTATCCTTCCTCTGATTTTTTTTTTTTTTCTCTCAGGAAATGGCATCACGATCTATCCCACTGCCTAAGCTGAGTACTTCACAATCATCTTTGCTCTTCTGTCATAGATCCAGGTTCAAATAACTTCCAAATTGCCTATTTTTAACTTTTATTTCCACTATCCCTGGCACATGATGTACATTCGCTGGATGAGAGTTGTTAGTGTACACTCTTCAGCAAGGCCCTTTTCTGCTCCCCACTGTCCTAATCTCATCTGTAGCTGTATCTTCTCATGCTCACTGAACTGTACAATATTTCCTAAACACTCACTTTCAAATAGTGATTTTGCACAAGCTTCTCTTTGGGCTGTCTTCCCCCAGTTTTTCTCCCGGGTGAACTCAATACCAAATTCCCAGTCTTCATAACTTTCCCTGATATTTAACGACTCCCTGATGATGTTCTTATCAAGTTTTCTATCCACTTTTAGTATATCACTTATCACCTTGCATTTTAGACGTTTTCCCTTGTTTCCTATGGTGGCATCCTGAAAGTAGGAGTCGTGTCTTATTTATTTCTGAATTTCCAGAGAATGGCAGAGTGGTTGAAATATTGAAGTTGCTCAATAACTTGTTTGCATTTTTCTGTCCTCTATAGAAGCATTATGCAAATCTGATGATTTACAAAAGACTTGAATGTAATAATGTTCTCTGTGCTGTACCAAGTGCATAAGTTGTCATCACGTGGAACCACAGATGAGGAAAATGTTCCTTAGGCCACTAAGAGTGTGATAGATGAAGAGAAGTCTACCAAATTCTGCAAAAATATAGGACCTCCATTTAAATTTAAAGGTCAGAGGGATATAAATGATTTTTAGTATAAGTGGATTGCATGGGACATAATTATACTGAAAGTTTATATGTTCTATGTCTGACCTTCAAATTTAACTGGGCATCCTGTTTTATCAGGCAATCCTCTGGGTCAAGGGAAAGTAGAATGTGTGCAATAGAAGGGAAGCAATAATCAGGGTAACTATAAACCCTGGTTTGCTCTTAAGAGAACTGGTTTCTATTTACTGTCTTAATATAACTTTTCCACTTCATGATAGTTCTCACTTTGACCCCCAAATATGAACCGATTTGGACGTGAATCATATGATCACAGCACATATCAATAGTAGCTCAAATCATTATAAAAAGATGATGAATATAATATTGTTGATTAGTTCTAGCAATACATTGTTAAATGTATAACAATCCCAAACATACAGCATTGATAGCAGAAGAAGCCAGTTGACATTTCTGGACAGTGTAGAAAATGGTGGATGAAATTGGAGACACTCATTCATCTGAGATGTGGGAAACAGAGTTGGTAATTACTGTCACATATATTATAATGTTGAACAGGGTATAAAAATCTTGGGAATTTAGGGAAGAGATTATAGCAAATTTAGAAGGACCCTAGGACCCTAACTCTGCCTGACCTCTTCTACTTTTCCAGTTTCTGTTTGTAGCATTTTCCCTCTTGTGCAATTTGCTTCACATACTTTGTCCCTCTTTTGGTTTCTTGAATGTGGCTGTCTGCCTTGGAGCCCACACATCTGGTTTTCCTCTCTGCCATCTCTGAAATGAAACAGACTTTCCTCTCCTCTCCTCTGGGGACCCTCCACTGCAGTGCCCCCCACCCGCCCCCCAATCTCCATTTAAATCCCATCTTCTTAGTTCATGCAATAGTATTTTTTTAAGCCCCCCCTTTTTTTGTGTAAGTGTGTGCCCCTGGTTTCCCAGCTAAACAGTAACAGTAACTTTTTTCCCTTCTCTGCATTTATCTCAATTTATAATAATATATTTTTGCTATTATTTGGTAATTTTTTGTCTTTTCCAAAGGACGGTTAGTTTGTTATTTCAGTGTATTTGACATATCTGGCATTAAATAAATACTTGTAGCAAGTATGTGTTACTATAGGGAAACAGTTTAATAGAAGTAAAATTTAATAAAGACTCCAGCTGTCCAGATGCAAAATGGGCTGCCTTTAAGTCACTGAGCTTGTGATCACTTGACATTTTTAACCAAAGGATGAATGACCATCTGTCAGTGATAAGGATGTTCCAGAAGGGTTTATACAAAAAATGGAGTGGGAAGTTGATAGCCTCTAAAGTCTTTTCTGACCTTTATATTCTGTGACTTACAAACGAACTTTGCAGTAAAATTTGCTTATAGATTAGAACTGCTGGTATTTTATAAATAATCTTAATTATTCTGAAATACTTATAGAATGAGACCCACTAATGATTGAATATTAAATTTCTGATCAATATTGATTAAAACAATGAGAACGAGAGATGATTTTCCTTGTTTTTCTTTCTTTTCCAGGTGAGGATTTGAAGACATACATTAAATCAAGGAGGTATCAAGTTGATGTTTGGGATAGATTGAGATTTAGAACTCAAGATTGAGGACGTCTCCTTTGCATGTTGGATAGTGAGTTTCTGAATTCTTTAACTTTTTAAAATGTAAAGAAAATAAGCATATTATTTGACATACTGAATGATTAGAACTAAAATAATATAAAAGCATTTTCAATTTCCCAGTGAAATTACAACTTAATTCAGAAAATTCTGTAATTTTTTAATTCAGAAAATTCTGTAATTTTCATTTCCTTGGTTTCTAATACCAAAAATTATATATGATGCCAAATATTATAATGACATATTTCCTTTCCATAAAATAAGTGCTTCAAAACACACATCTATTTACTTCTAAGAACTTCTCATAAAAAATCTTTATAAAATTAGACATTTGCAGTGTATCAGATACCATCACAAAAATACTATTTTCACTTACTAGTAGCAATGTTTTCAGTAATAACTTGTTATTTTAAAATTTAACATATGCATTATTCTGAAATGCATTTGCCATTATCCATATGCATGATGTTTATTTTCTTTTTATTTTATTTAATTCTTTTATAGTGCTTACTTAATCGTACACACTTTATTTATTTATTAAAAGTCTTTATTTTTAAGTAACTCTATACCCAGCATAGGTCTTGAACTTACAACCTGTGATCAAGAGTCACACACTCTACCAACTGAGCTAGCCAGGTACCCCTGGCATATACTTTTTAAATATTAGCTCATTAAACCATGATAAGAACTCTCCAATTGAACCACTTTTAATTTTTAAATTTACAGAAGAGAAAACTAGATAAACAGGTATTTAAGATAGATAAATAGATGGTTAATCAGTTGACTAAGGCCATATGTAGTAAGCTGTGAAACTAAGATTTGAACCAAGGCAGTTCAGTTGTAGATTGATACCCTTAATCATATGTGATAGCAACTGAAATATTAACAGTGCAGTCAGATAAAAAATAAGCAAAAGTATCTTGCTCCATTCCTTCCTCATATCTTTTACTACATCTTAGAGGTAATCACATTTAAACTTTAGTGTTTGCAACTATTTCTGGTAGATATCACCATAACTTTTAATACCTTTAAATACTCTTATTTACTAATTTTTTAACTGTGTAAATTTGAACATACTACTCCTAATTATTTTTCAACTTCCACCCCCATATTTTTGTTAGTTGTGTTTTGGTTATTTTAGTTCCTGACAAATTATGCTTACATACTCATTATTTAACTTAGAACCAAGTATTTTGAAAGACATATAATCCAGTGCCATTAAAATCTGGGATCATTTTTACCTTCTCTCCTTATAATTGTTCAGAATTATGCTACACTTTTCTTTGCTTAGATGAAGAACATGACTTTATCATACAACTTTATGATAAAAATCCAGATTTTCTGTATTTTATTTTTTGCTTCATTAAAGAGGTATTTTATTTTATTTTTTATTTTTTAATATATAATCTATTATTTGTTTCAGGGGTACAGGTCTGTGATTCATTAGTCTTCCACAATTCACAGCACTCACCAGAGCACATACCCTCGCTAATGTCCATCACCAAGCCAACCCATCCGTCCCACCCCCCTCCATTCCAGCAACTCTGTTTCCTGAGATTGAGAGTCTCTTATGTTTTGTCTCCCTTAAAGAGGTGTTTTAATGGCCTCCTGATTCATTGCTCATATATGTCAAATATCTATCTGATTCCATTTTATACGTAATAATTCCAACAGAGTTCATAATATGGTTATTTCCTATGATAATACATATGTATGTATGTAAATACACCTAAAAGAATCACTCATTATGCTTAAAGATTTTTATATAAGCATAATAATTATGTATTGTAGAATAGGAGAATTACATATATATAATAAATTTATGAATTATTTCAGTTTGAAATTTGTTAGTACTACATAGGATGTATTTTTAGCTCTTTAGTTAATAGAGCCATTTATATTCCTATGATAATCCTCTACTCCCTGAAGAATATAAAGTAATTATGCCCAGTATCCTATTGAAAAATTTTAATACTGAGTTACCCTTTCCTCTCTGGGTCAGCTACACATATACTTTCCTGTCCTCTCAACAAAATCAATAATTCTGAGACTTTTAAACAAACCCAGTTTACTTTGCCCCGTACATTACAATATTATGTTTGCTCACTGTGGTTGTCACTTAAATTTTCAAGGAAACTTTTTAGTGTGTTCTCATTAGATGCAATTTCTTTATTTGCTTTTGGTATTGAACAAAGTGCTAAACATTCTGAGTGGCTTATTTGCTGAGATTTCTTTGTTAAGAGAACATGGACATTGCTCACTCACAAGATTATACCTTCCCTACCCCACTGAAGGGGAGGATCCAGCAGAAAAAGAGGAGGAGAGAAATATCATTAGTAGGATGACAATAATCTCAAGAAAAACCGGGGGAAATTATGTCTACTGTACTAACTTAAATCTAGTAACAACATGCATTTTTTGTTCAGATGGAGAATTTTATTTTCTCTAGATATTTTCCTATTGAAGTTCCTCAGTGTCTAATTTTTTTTTAACATTATTGTTTTTGTCCTATTTGAAACATTAAGGTTTGGGCAACTATACCATAATAGCATAGAACATGCACATAATATTAATATTAACATTTTAAATCTCAGAATAATCAATGTATTTTTTTGAAAATGTCAGCCCAAATAATTTAAAAGTGCCTTATAAACACAGTACAAAATATAAGATTGTATGATAGAATGGAACATTCTATCAAAAGCTTTAAATTAATAGAATGGTAAGTAAAGTTTGCCTCAGAGTTTAAATGAAGATATTCTTATATAATTGCTGTGAGAATAATCATGCTTGAATATAATTAATGAATGTCCATAAATGGAATTTCAGTATTCACTGAGTAATCAAGAAGCTTTCACATCCATATATTTTGGGGAGAAATACCAAAATAAACATCTATACTGCATACAGAATAACCCATGTAATGTCTAATATTTTATCATCAATATATTAATCACTACAAGGTAACATAAGTTCCTTGTGTAAAGTTTATCCCAAAATAATGACCTCTTTCATGGAGGCTTGAATCATTGTCTATCAATTGTATCAATGTGGTAACTATCACCTCATTCACAAGTCAGACGACCTGTACATCCATAGCTTCACCCCAAACTGATGGGTGTAGTATGGTGGACATTTTGGGGTCTTACTAAAGTTTTAAATCAATATATGGAGTGGAAAGAGAAAACAGGAAGGTTTTAACCATTGATTAAATCTTAAATAAATTCCTCAAGTTTTTATGGGATGATGCCGTTGACCTCAGTACCCGCTCTGGAAAAAGGCAAGGATATGCAAATAGTTTTATGAGGACAAATGAGAAAAACTAAGTTTTATGTACATTGACTTTTTTAAGAAATAGGGAAAATGTTAGATATCTCCTCACTTTGGAAGGAGGTGATTATTTTCAATTTTGGACCTGAAAATAGTATTTTCCCTTGATTTTAGCCTATCATTCTAAAAAACTGTCTTGTTTGACAACAGCTATCAAACATTTATTGCTAGATAGGTTGATAATAGCAGAAGAGCGAAGCATCCCTTGATCTCACATAGTAACTGGCTAGATAACATTAAAGCTCCCCATAGAAAAATAAAGAGTCTAAAAACATCTTTTACATAACAATTTTTTTTCTTTTTCTTTTTTTTTAAATAATACTTTCTTTGAGGTAAGTTTATCTTAAAGTAACTAGAGTGTTTAAGAAGAAAAAGGGAAGGCAAAAAGGTGTTATTCCTAAAGGAAATATATAGGATTAAATATAATCAGCTTGAAAAGAAGACAAATATATTCACTTAAGTAGGAAGGAAATATAAATAGCCTTCTTTATTGAATAAGATGGGAATCTTGATTTCCCTGATTCTGAGAAAATGTTTATTGGGTTAGGGACAATCAATTATGAAGGGGCAGTCTCAAAGAATAAAGGAAATAATATTGTGATGCTTATTTTAAAAAGGAATCTTACAGAGGGGGTGGGTAACCAACACTGCTGTCTTGTCTTCCTGCTTGGCTCTTGGTCTTTTCCTACTGGCATCTTTTGTCATGGGGAAGTTAATGTTATTTATGTTTAGTAATACATTTCTTTTATTTAAAGAACTCACTGGTTCCTTACTGACTAGAGAATAAGTCTGCAACTACAGAGCAGGGCGATTGTAAATGTGGGTCATGTTTTCTTTTCAATTTCATGCTCTCTGTATCACCAATTGGTCCAGGGTTGGGGGCACCAGACCACGTGGGTTCTCTGAACTGAGCACCATTTCCCTGAGCAACATGCATCTGTGTTCACACTCAGCTTTGCCTTCAGCCTCCAAGGCTCTCAGAACAAATGCCACCAACATCTGACTCTTTCTTGGGTGAAGCAGTCACTAGTATAATATAATCTATACTGTTTTGAAGATATTTCTGTATCTGTTAATGCGATTAGTCCATGAGGTCCTAGAGGGCCTACCTGTTGCTTTATTCATCTTCCTAACCCTGTTTTCCAGGCATAGCAGAGATCCTCTAAGTTCTTTTGTAAATGAAGCTGATGTTATAAGCCATTTTGTTATTATTCTGTATCTAAACAGACCAGTTTTGTGTGTGTGTGTTTAATAGTGTGCTTAGATTTTTATGACCAGACGTTAGTAGATGTGAAGAACCTTAATAAAGATCTATTAATGTGCAATTTATTTTTTTAATATTTATTTATTTAGGGGCGCCTGGGCGGCTCAGTGGGTTAAAGCCTCTGCCTTCAGCTCGGGTCATGATCCCAGGGTCCTGGGATCGAGCGCCTCATTGGGCTCTCTGCTCGGCGGGGAGCCTGCTTCCCCTCCTCTCTCTGCCTGCCTCTCTGCCTACTTGTGATCTCTGTCTGTCAAATAAATAAATAAAATCTTTTAAAAAAATTTACTTATTTATTTGAGAGAGAGAGAGAGAGCGCACAGGTGAGCGAGGGGAGGAGCAGAGGGAGAGAGAGATTCTTAAGCAGGTTCCACGCCCAGTGCGGAGCCCAACTTGGGGCTTGATCCCATGACCTGGAGATCACGACCTGAGCTGAAATCAGGTCAGAGTCCCAATTGACCTAAGCCCTCCAGGTGCCCCAAAGATTTATTAATGTGTAATTTAAAAGCAAAATCAAAGTTGCATATCCAACTCAGTTTTCTTTTTAAGGGAATGTCTGTTAAATTTTGTAATTTAAGGTCAATTAAGGTATCACAGACACAAGAGAGTTGATGCCATCATTAACTTTTGTTTGTTCTAGTTTATTTATTTGATAAATATTAGAGATCTTCTTACTCTAATCACATCAGTCTTGCTCATACTACATGAGTGACTTAGAACAGACTACTACATTGATTGGAATGATGTTAAGTAACACCTTTAAAAAATCATAATGTGGGGCACCTGGGTGGTTCAATGGGTTGGGCCTCTGCCTTCGGCTCAGGTTATGATCTCAGGATCCTGGGATCGAGACCTGCATCGGGCTCTCTGCCTGGCAGGGAGCCTGCTTCCCCCCTTCTCTCTGCCTACCTCTCTGCCTACTTGTGATCTATCTCTCTGTGTCAAATAAATAAATAAAATCTTTTAAAAAATCATAATGATTTTTTCATTATAGAAACTACATATTTTCACTGAAATGCAAGAAGAGTTTATTTTACTGTATAAATC